CTGCACCGTGGAAACTGGCTTTGACTTTATCCGCGAGAATCGCACGCGGGAACTGCTACTACTTTCGCCTCGATCGCATTCGATCTCACGCTAGAACGCTTATCGATCGTTCCGTCCATCTTGACTTTCAATCCCTTGGCTCCTCATGAAAAATGATTTTGCCTCTGCACAAATATTCACAAGGAGGACATAGATTTTTGCGAAAAATCGGCATCAAATATTTTGCAAAATCCAAAGTAGTCGAGTTACGTAACATATGGGCACGCTTACAGAAAAAGTGTGAAGGTCTGCTGTGTGAAGAGTCACTGTGGAGACCTTTCGCGGAGGGCTGCAAAATAGGTAAAGTCTTTTCAGAGATTTGGACCAAAGTATACGGAGAGAACTACCTTGTATTTACAAAAGAACTATCTTGTATTCGTAATCAGAAGGAACGTCCACAAGAAACTACAAAATGTTGTTTTGCAAAAAAAAAAGTTGAAATAAAAATCGAATAACTTATTTGAATGAACATGCGAAGTGCAGCACGGGTCTATATTTTTACTTATTACAAACGTTTAAGAGTCTAAGTGCAAAATCGAGCTCCTTTCTTACTTATGCAAGGAAGATGCCAAAAAGTTTAATAAGAAAATATAATGTCAGCGAGGCAAAATATCTCAAGTTGTGCAGATACGACAGAAACTGTCGTCCAGCTGCACTAACTTCTGGCTGTTGTGTCCCTGCAAGCATAATCCCTATGCATTAATATTCAAGTGTGTATGGACATACAGCTACATATACAGAGACGGTATCTCGTGTTCTCGCTGTATGAGATCCCCAAAGTCCAACCATAATTTGCTATTGCTGACCCTTAAGGGGATGTCAGAGTACTTTCAGAAATCACAGTGTGTAAGTAAAAAAAAGTGCACCATATAGATGGCGGTAATTCGCGGATATTTTGAATTAGAGGCGTTAATTAGATGTTTTGTTAGATAGTTTTATGTTTGTTTTGGAAATTTTCGTGCTGAAAGCGCGTCAATCTAACTTCCTTTGATATTTGTTGAGCAACAAAGATATAATGACGCTATCGGAGCACGTAATCTATATATGAACATACATTAGATTTATAGTACTATATGTATACATTTACACTTATTAACATCGGTAATGTAATATCTGTGAACTATTATGTACACGACTAAACTGCTCTTTTTTACTTATGTTTTGGGAAATTTACATACACAATATTTTTTGACATATTCCCCCTAAGTTAACGTGTCCCCTCTAAGTTTCCAAACATATTTCTGAAGATTGGACGTTACTCCAATGAACAATATGTAGTGTGCTATCATTTTTTTTTGTGGTAATCACAGGACTTTGATATAAAGTGCAAATTGTCTTGGGAAATTTTAGGTTAATCAAGTTCAAAATGTTTTTTCGTTTCTAGCAAAAATATTGTGATAGCACAATATATGACAGCACTGCATTAGCATGTGTACTTTAGTGGTGCAAAAAGGCTTCTGAATCGGTGCAGTCAAAACGACATAGGACTTTTAAAATGTCGGTTGGTATTGCGACATCCCTCTTAATGAAGGATCAAAGTTATCGAGATCATGGGGTGCAGAATCATGAACAATTAGAATCTACATACTTCACGCTATGGATATGTGTAAAAGCCAAAAGGCTTAGTTCGCGGCTTTCGACGTCACGTCGAAAACGTTACCCCAGATTTCGGGTTCACGTGACAGTGCGACGGGGAGTGTCGTTTGGCCCGGGTCGGGTCGAATGTTTCCCAACAAAACCGCGCCTAGCCTTTTCCCGACTCTTTCGCCGTCATCTGTCGCCGCGCGGATACAATGCCGGTGAAACGACAAATACGTCAGATCGCGAGGAAACAAAGGGAAGAGCGCGCCGGTCGCCGGAACGCCCCTTGGACTCAATCGATTAGGAGCGTCCACCTTTTCTTCTCGCGAGAGAAACGTGGCGCAACGTTGAAACTCGCGCCCGCCACTTCAACCGACTCGATTGTGCCTCTTTTTTCTCCCAAATCGACATTCGATCGATCTCTCCCGGACGCCCGGGAGGCACCCAGGTCTCGGCCAGGTTGGAACGATCATGGAAAAAAATATCAAGAGGGAGGAAGAAACGAGTGGACGGTTCTCGACGCGACCGACTGTTCCTCTCCGCTTCTTCAGCGCAGAGCATCACCGTGGACGAGCAGACGGTCGTCGGCAAAAAGGGGGCGGCCAAGGGGTAGGTGGATCTCTCTCTCCCTCAGATAGATAGATAGGTAGGTGCGGTCAGTGTCACGAGGGCTGACAAAGGCTGACCGCCGGCAGGGACATTCAAATGGTAATCGGCACCGCGCGTCTAACGTACACCGACGCGCCCCACAGCCAGCTCCGTTTCGAGGGGGTGCGAGAGCGGGCGCACCCCTCGGCACACAGCCGAGCACATTCGCACTAGAATCAAGCCAAATATTGGCAATATCATCCCCCGGCATTGTCCCCGTCGCGACCTGCCTCCTGCCGCCGCCGCCGCCGTCGGTGGGAAACGATGTCCATTTGAATGCGCGATTCCATTACCGATGCCGGTATATCGGTCCGAGGATATTACCGGATTAGGATTTAAAGGGACGCGGGATCCCGCGCCGCAGCACAACTCGGTCATTTCTGCGAGATACGCGCCGCCAAACAGTAAACATCGCCGTGAGTTGTGCCGAAAAAAACGCCGCGGAAAGTTCGCGCGTCCTCGTGTCCCTTTCTTGTCTATGCGGATGCTGCCGAGATGTGACACCTCGAAGATATTACGGATATAAATTCGCGGCAATTTTTGCAGAGATGGAAGAGGAGAGAGGGTGTGACGCGAGACAAACATCGTGAATGGAAATTCATAACTCGAGAGTTTCCTCTGTGCAAATATGACATGCGGCACGTGTTAATGATTTTCCATCTAGAATTCGCATTGTATTTTATATGGGGAAATAATACTTGAAAACTTATTTGCGATACATAGAACAAAAGAATATTCTGGTTTAGAAAATTTACTATTGACGTTTTAAAAATAAGATTAATGTTAAAATGATGAGATTATATGGCGTTGAACAAAGATAAATTAGTCTTCAATCAAAACAAATATAGTAACACAATTTTCTCATAGAATATTACAACATTCTTGGTTATATATGTTAACATAATTTTCATTTTCTTATATATAAACAAGAATATTAATATTGTTGGTTATATGAAGATTAAGAAAATGATTGTGTTAATTTTACTATATTCGTCTTAGTTGAAGACTAATTTATCTTCGTTCAACGCCATGTAATCTCATTTTAACATTAATCTTATTTTTAAAATGTCAATAATAAAGATATTCTTCAAACAAGAATATTCTTTCTTTCTATGTATACAAAATTTATTTGCGTGCACAAATAAATTCTTTGTCACAGAAATAAACTTTATGTCTCACAAATTTATTCTCAAATGTTTCTTCTCAGCGTATGTTGAAGCAGATGATCTTCTGTAACAGATAAATTGTGTCTGTTTTTTGTCGCAACAGGACAGTAAAGATCATTACGATATCGTAGCGTGGCAATCATTAAACCCCGTCCCTAAAGAGATTCACGATATCACGATCGTTTCCATGATCACACCTCGCTCAATTAGCGCCGTCATTTCGGTCGGGGCGTACTTGATGCGCTTAGGTATGGTAGTCGCGGTAATCCGGCGCAGGTCGTTGCGCCGATTATCTCGTAAAACGTGTTGCCGGTGATCCACCGTCCGTTTGACGTTCGCGAATAGATCTGTGCGATTCGCGATCGGTGTTGATTCAGGGCGCGCAACGTCGCACGTGCGCCAGTGTAGACGCACGCAAAGCTCCCGCAACCCGAACTTCAGCACGCGCCACGATTACGCGATTACGCGATTACGCGTGTCGTCTCCCCGTCGTAGCCCGGGCTGATGCTCCGAAGGAGAGGTCGCACGAGCAATGACGCGGAAGATGATTCGTCCGCCCTTCCACCCTCCATGAGTGATCGTACGTTGCACTGTAATAAGCCCATCTGCCGGCGAATAAAAGGGTGACGATTTTCCGTCTCGCACGTTTGAAGTTTATTTAACTAATACTCACGATATTGGATCCCGGATTCAGTCGAAGTCGCGTTGCATGAGAATGTGATATCCGTAATTAATATTCATGAAAAAATTATATATATATATATATAAAAAATTATATATATATATATATATATATATATATATATATAT